GGGTGTCCTGTTCCCTGTGCTGGATATTGGGGAGCTTCACACAAAAAATCATGGAATCCAGAACAGTTTGGGTTGGAAGGGACCTTAAAGACCACCCAGTTCCACTTCCCTGCCATGGGTAGGGACACCTTTCACTAGATGAGGTTGCTTCCAGCCCTATCCAACCTGGCCTTGAACACTTCCAGGGGTAACTTTCAGGGATAAAATAACTTCCGGGGACAAAATAACTTCCAGGAATAAATAACTCTCCTGGCTGGCAGTGTGATCCACGCCCCACCAGAGTGATGCCAGGGGTCCCCACGGGGGCAAAGCATTGCCCAAACCCCGTGCCAGGCTCACTCAGCTGCATCGGGGTGCCCAGGTAGAGGGAAAAAAAAGTCTCCAGGAAAATCCAGCTCATTAAACAAACGCCCGGGGGCTGTCACAGCCTAACAAGCAGAGCTTTAGCAGCTGATTTGTCTTCAGCCGGCAATGTTTAAAAATCCAACTGAGACCAGCAGAAAAATATCCACTCCCCTCTTTAAAACACACATTCATCACTTGAGAATCTTAATGCGTCTTTCCCAGCCGGGGAGGTCAAACACGCCTGCCTAAAGCAGGCTCATTAAATATACATTTAATCACGGTTTGGATTGAGAGACAAAGGCTGGGAGAGACAGGTGCTTTGCCGGAGTGACCTTTTGGATCCCATTTTAATGTAACTAGTTTACAGCTTATCTGAAAGGCCAGCTCCTGGGGAAGGCGAGCTGCGGCAAAACGGGGAAAGTAATTAGGGGGGGAAGGGCTGGGGAGGTTTAGGGGGCTGTGGGCTGGCAATGGCACCATCCACTGCCGCCGCCACGCTTCCCAGGCAGCTCTGCAACATTTGCTGAAGTTGGACTTATCAACCACAGCAACCCAATTTAATTTGCTTATCTTGGCTCCTTCCTCCCCCCCTCCTTCCCGCTTCTCCTGCTCTTTTTAATTATCGGTTAAATAAATGTCTTTTTCAATAAGGGAAACAGCATCAAAGCAGGCGCCCACCCCCCAGGCACTTACACTTGCGCGGCTCCAGCGCCTTGTTGGGGCAGGGGAGGTGTTGGGCTGGGGGGTTCTGGGTCCTCTGCAGGCAGGCCAGCATGGTCTGGGTTTCCTGGCGGGCGCTGCCGCCCCGCACCCTGTGAGAGAGGAGAGACATGGGTGAGGGAGGGGACCTGCCCACCTCGCTGCCACCACTCTGTGCCCACCCAGCAGAGCCAGTGGCAGGATCTCCACAGCACTCAAGTGCCCTTTGCTCCTCTGGAGATCAATAACTAAATCAGAGAGCCTGAAAGAAATAGGAATGTATATAAAAGAAATATGAAGGTCTCAGTGGGTGATCTGTGCTGCCTGCAGAGCTTTCCGCTCTTCCCACTGGGAAGGGGGCAGAGCTGGGGCATCCCCACGGCACCGTGCTCCAGCAGTGCCAGACTGCTCTGCCGGCGTGCCAGTCAGCACCTCCCAGCACAGAGTGACCCTGGCCAAGGCTGGGGAAAGACAGTGTTAACATCCCACTCGGGGTCCTGGGATCTGTCGCCAGCTCCCAGCTGGCATCAAAATCTGCTCGACAAAAGCTGGAGGGGTCAGGCCAAAGTCACCGCCGCCACTGCGCTGCTCACTGTATGTCCTTCACCAGCCGCCGCGAGGCTGTGAGTTATAACCAGTTGCTGCTGACACCCTCCCACTACTCCGGCTGGCGCGGGGAGAGATATTCCCACTTGGAGAGGGCAGGGAGATGTGGGCGGGAGCAGCAGGAAAAAAGGCAGTGGTGCCCATCCACGGTGTCACAGCTCTTGAGCCATCGCTCTCCAGCTGAACGCTTACGGATGGCTGGGGGTCACAACTGGATGTCACGGATGGGTGTCACTGCTGAGTACATCACTTCATCTTCTCTGTTGTGGGGGAATCGTGACCTCCTGCAGCCATCCAGGATGTTTCCCACATGTCCCAGTGTTGGTGAGAGGTGCTGGCACTGCCGTGCAGGGGAGCAATGTGGTGGCCTCAGGCATGTGGTGGCCTCGGGCAGGTGCTGGCAGAGCCCATGACCATCACCACTAAGAAGCCAAGCAGGAACGGATGATCCCAGAGGCATGCTCGGGGCTCTCCGTGCTCCACTGGTTTAAGTGTCACCCTTTGGAAGCCCTTCACAGCCATCACAGGCGCAGACGGTACCTGCGCGTGCACCACTTGCTCCCTCCACAGGCAGGGGCTCCCAGGCTCTGTGATTGTCCCTGGAACGGGATCCATGCAGGGCGTCTGTCCCTTGGCTGGGCTCTGCGGTCTCACCCCATCCCCCCCCAGCAAACTGGTGGCATGGAGACTCATCGGCAAAAGGTGTGAGGAGGAGGAGGGGAGGAGGAAGTAATCTAATACCGAGCAGGTGTCTGGAGAACCCAAATTGTGCTGTTTTCTTCTAATAATGAAGTATTCATGAGTAAAAGCCTTTTTCACTACTTTCTTAAGATACTAATTTCACAACAAGCGCCTTGTTACCATGCAATTATTCCAATCGTGCATTTCTCCCAGATTCCATCTGTCCTCGTGCTCTCTAAATGAAAGACAATCATGTAACCACCTTTCATTATTCACTATTTTACTTTCAGCAAAGGTACCCTGAAAGAAATGATTTCCTCTGAAAGGGACTTTTATTCAGTTTCAAAACCAATTTTCTCCTATTACTGTCTTAAAAAAAAAAAGGAGGGGGGCAGGGAGGTGTTTTTATTTCATGCATTACATATCCTTTGTTAACGCAGCTCGCAGTAAAAGCAGCCGTATCCATTTTCTGGCTTCGATTTCTGGTAATTTTAAAATATGCCATTACAATCAGGCAGAAATTATACAGTTTGAAAAGAGAATGAAGTGCTTCTTATTCAGAGCCTGAGCACACTTGACTGCCAGGAGCTCGCCTCTCCCCGCCGGGACTCGGGGTTCATTACGCAGCCCCGCTCCCGGTGCCTCAGCTCCCCCAGCACGCACCCACCGCCTGGATTTTCCGTGCTGGGAGCTGCCTGACCCCATCCCTGTCCCCATCCCTGTCCCTGCAGGGTGGACCCAGGTCAGGGCACCCAGGGCCATGCGGGGGATGGATGATGGCACTGGTTCCTGCCGTACCTGAGCCCCAGCTCTGCGGTGACCTCAGGGCTGGCGTCCCGCCGGGTGTCACCATCTGGCCGATTAGCAATGGACGTCACCTCCTCCCTGCGGAGAGGCAGCTCCTCACGGGGACATTGACCTGTGTCCCTGGCAGACACGGGCACCGTGGGTGGCTCGTGCCATTGCTGGATGAGGATCAGGTCCCTGATGGTCCCTGGGGCAAACAGCTGAGAGCAAGGAGAAAGCACCCAGGGGATCACTGAATCCATGTGACAGCACAGGAAAGGCAAGGGGAAAGCACCCAGGGGGTCACCAAAACCATGTGCTGGCACAGGGACGGTACAGGCGCAGCCCTGGTCCGGGGAGATGCTGGTGACCTGTCACAGCAGCTGAGGGCACCCTTGACTCTGGGGCCCAGCAATGCAGGTCCCTGGGGACACCCCCACGCTGGTACAAGTTGTCACCACCACTGCCATACACAGCCCAGCACCCTCCTGGAGCCATCCCAGCCCTGCCCATGGAGCATCACTGAGATGCAGGAGCCACCTGCCAAACTGAATAAAGCCACCGATTAATTCAGACCCCGCCTCTGCCCCCATCTCCCGGCGCCTTGCAGGGGAGATGATTTTTCCTACAGCTATGTTGCACTTCACGGGCACACTCAGAACCACGAGGGCTCTGGTGCCACAATACCATCCATCTGTCCACCCTGGCACCCTGCTGGGTGCCCCAAGCTCCCAGAGTGCCCGTGGGCGGGAGGGTGGGCGCCCGGCACAATGGGCATCTGTGCCACGGTGGCATTTCGTTAATGCCGCTCAGAAAAGCCCCTGAATCAGCTGATGGGAATTGGGCGCTGGGCTGTCCAACGCTTAGCGCCGGCTTAGTTAGCTCCATCTGCATTTGAACTAATTCCAATCAGCAGGATCCGATTTAGTTCAAGCTGCTCTGGCTTTTTCGTGGCAGGAAAGGCAACACTCAGCAGTTTTGCCGGAACGCCCCGAATCCGCATGGCCTCTGCCCAGGCTGTGGATCCACCATCATCCAGCCAGCACCGCTGTACATGGCAAGACATTCCCACCAGAAGCAAAGTCCCTTGTGGACACCTGGAGCAGGGTCCCTCAGGAGCCCCAACCCCACATCCCACAGCCCTGTCACCATCTAGAACCTCAGAATGGCTTGTGTTGGGAGGGACCTTAAAGTTCATCCCATTCCACCATGGGCAGGGACACCTTCCACTCGACCAGGTTGCCCCAAGCCCTGTCCAACCCGGCCTTGAACACTTTCAGGGATGGGGTAGCCACAAGTCCATTCTTCCCCTCTCCCACCACTCCTTCCCACCCCACACCCGGCTAATCCATCTCTACATCACACTATTTATAAGCCCAAGGTCTTCGTGACTTTAATAAAAAACACCACCCTCTATGTCTAAAGCCCCAGTGACGGGAGGGTTTGGCACCTCCTCTGACATCAGTGGCTGATAAGTCGGGCTTATCTCCTCCGAGAGCCCTGCGAAGGTCCCTCCGGCGAGATAAGGCCAGCGCAGCTGTCGATAGAGGCTTTCGCAGGCGAGGATTTAGATAAAAGAAAATGTGACGGGAGGGGGAGAAAAGAAAAAGGAACTTTTGAAGTCTCAGCCTGAAGTGGGTCTGTGCAGTTGCTGGGCAATGGAGGGCAGCAGACAGGGCAGGGATGGTGAGGGACAAGGTCTTGGTCACCATCCAAGCTCTGCTGCAACATGCCTGCATCCTTCCCTGGGCACCACTGAAGTGTAATCCCATTAAAAGGGAGTTTTTGGGGTTAGGAGAGGAAGGAGGGGATGAACAGGGACGCTGCAAAGCTGTTTGAGTCATGCCACTGCCATGTCCCCCCTGGCTATTAAAAGTCAGTGCTGGGTTCGGCGCAAGAACAGGAGGTGATGGGGTCACCCCGGCTGGGAGAGGCACAGGAGGCTCCTGACAGCACCCAACAGACAGACAGACAGCACAGGAGCCAGGCCAAGGCTGGTAGCAACCAGGGAAACGAAGAAAAGCCCTCACCGGTCCCTGGTGTGCCAAGTAAAACAAACACTCACCGTGGTGCCAGGGCTACTCACCATGACCAGGGACACCCCTGCCCCTTGTCCTTCCATGGATGGAGGAGAATCCCATTGCCCCTCCAGGGTGCTCCCCTTCCCTGCAACCCTAGGGACATTGGTGCCACCTCTGCAGCAGCACCGGGACATTGGCGCTACCCCCACAGGAGCCCTGGCACAGCCACTGCCATCATCCCTGGTCCCCACAGACACTGGTTTCCCAGCCAATGGCACCCTGCAAGGGTGAGGAGGTGCCAGAGGAGGAATGCTTCCCCTCTGCATGCAGTGGGTGCCCATCCCATCGCAGGGTGAGCAGGATTTTGGCTGGTGCTGCCTACTGGCACCATGGTGGTACCAGCAGGTGACGTGCCAGCTCATGCCAATATCCCATCCAGATTTAGGGTGGAGGGGATGCAGCGCTCAGCGAGTGATGCCACAGCTCAGCCCTACAATGGGTGAGCACAGAAAGGTCACTCCACCATAAACCATGGTGAGCACCAGATAAAATTAAGCCCAAAGTTTGCCACTGAGGGTGCCACGAGGCACAGTCGGTGCTGCCGGCCGCCCCATGACCTTCCCTCGCCCGCCTGCCGCTCCATCCCACCCGGATAATCCGCTCCCCTCCGCGTGCTCCAGCCCCAGGCCTTTCAGGGGGCCCTGTTAATAATTAAATGTTAATCTAAAAAGCAATTTTAGCTGCAGTGCTGCAGATCTGGTTAGAGATTACATTAGCATGTAAGAGTCAAGGGTAATTTTCTCTAACCCCTCTTGTGATCTTTAAAACCCGCAGATCTTAAAGCAACACCAGCTCCTCTGATTAAAATTGGAAGCTGGGGTTTGCAATGGATAATGATGCTGGAAGTGATTATTTTGCTGCTCAGGATCTTGCTGGGGTGGTGGGGAAGTGGGGGGCTGGGGGAGTGACCCAGACCAGCCAAGTGGCTTCTCCCAGCCCATATCCTGTGGAGATGCTGGGAAGATGTCGGGTGAGCCTGGGACCTGGCACTAAGCAGAGCTGTGACACACTGAGCATCCCCATTTCCCACTTCCCCAGAGCACGCCTTTACTTACAGAGCTAACATTTTGCTGCCAGGGGAATGATGCTTTTTTTGGGTTGCTGTGACACCAGGATGGCACGGAGCCCACCAGCCAAGGCACACAGCCAGGGACAGAGTGGCACCAGAGCTGGACAGAGCATCCCCTCGCTGCTGGCATCTTAGGGCAGCATCTAAGTCTCTCCCATCCCACTCAGAACTGAGGTTTCTACTCCTGTGGCTGCTCCAAGAAGAAACCCCTTAGACTGCTCAATAAAATCAACATCAAAAAATACCCCAAAATAACCTTTGGCTTATGAGCAGGGCCAGGGGGACTGGGACAGGGCACAGCAAATCACCTCCTGAGCAGTGCAAATGACCCGATGGAAGAAATATGGTATCGGATGTGTCCGTAATGATGGAATTAAAAAAAACCCCAACAATTCAAGTGCTGTTGAGCATTTGCAGATGTCCCCGCACAGGGCTCGGGCGGCCTGGTTAAATTTATGTGTCAGCTTTAAGGAGGCCTCTCATCAAATGAGCTATTTTGGGCAGAGATTAAAGATCTATTTTCGCTGTGAGCAGGAACAGCTCTCGAACAGGTTAATGATGATTCTGGAAAGCCACGCAATTCCAGCGCCCTGGGCCAGGGACTTGGAACCCTGGGCAGCGCCGGGGGGTCCCTGAGGGTGCCCAAGCCACGAGGGTGGAGGATCACAGTGCGACATCCCCCGTAACCGCTGCCATCCTGGCGGGGAGGAAGGAGCCCCGCGTGCTGCGCCGGGCGCTGAGCAGCCGTGGGTAATTGGAAGTGGCAGACGCTGGCACGGCACTGCCGAGAAGGTCATTAAGTGGGACTGGGAATGAAATGCCAGCAGCGAGGGGGGGAGTGTCCCCGTTAGCAAAGGTCAGGGCCCCACTTGGCGCCAGCGGTGTTTTTGGCAGAGCTCAGCCCTGGCTGTGTGCACCGGGGTCCTGGCAGGGCCAGCGTGCAGCGCGGGAGCAGGACCTGCCGGTACGGATGTGCCCCCTCTGGTGTGGTACCAGCTCCTAAAATAAAACCTCACTCATCCAACACAATTGTGCCATGCCTTCATCCTGCACGTGGATGGGGAAGAGGGGCTGGAGAGATGAGCCCACTGAGCTGCCCACCATCCCATCACAGATGGTCAGGATACTCATGGGCTTTTGGTCCCAGCCACAGCAGGGACACGGGATCAAACCATCAGAAAAGCCAAGCTGCTCCAGGAAGACCTCCCAGGCAGCAATTAAAAGCACCCTGGACCCCACCCCAGCACGGGTATCCACACCTTGGACACCTGCAGCACCCATGTCTCCAGCTGAGATATAACTCAACACGGCAGAGACCAAAGCTCCCCATCATAGCTCCTGCCCCATCCTGGCTCCCTCCTGCCCCATCCTGGGGGCTCAATTGCCCCCCGCAGTGACAGGTCCCTGTGCCCCCACAGCCATGGTGGCAGCGCCGCGGTGCCCCGGCCGTGGCAGTCGGGCGTGCGCCGCTCCGTAATTACAGCCCCGAGTGCCTGAGCTGTGAAAGAATCTGACGAAGGAATCCAGGGTAGATCGCGCTGCTGAAATTACTATAATCAAAGGCTTTCACAAAGGCTTCAAATGCAACCAATTACCCTGAAAGGCGAGGCAAGAAAGAAAACAAATTAGCATGTTTGCACAGAGCCTCGGCGCAGCGCACACATCGCCCCGCGCCGCCCTCGACTCCGGCCGGCCGCTGCTCCCCATCCCCGGGTCCAGCTCCCCCATCCCTGGCTACCCTCCCCTCATGCCTGGGTACCAACTCCCCATCCCCACGGCAGGTCCGTATCTCCATATCCTGCTCTGTCACTGCTGCCCTGCTCGCAGCTGCACACAAAGGGGCTCTGTGCCCGTCCCTCGCCCCACGGCCGCCGCTGCCCTGCCCGCACACAAAAGCCCTGCCTGTGCCACGGTCGGGTCAGGCGCAGGCTCAGGGGCTTGCCAGGGTGGCCTGGGGAAACCTCCCTCCCTTCTCCCTTGGCGCTGGTAGGGGTCCCTGGGCGAGGGGAAGTGAGGGGGGTCCTCAGATGCACCCATTGAGCACAGCCCCGCGTCACCTATGGACAGCTGGGGAAAGCACTCATGGCAGGGAACCCCCACCCTCCTCTCCTTACAGTACACTTCATCTGGCTGCCAGTCTGGGGGAAGGAGGGGAAAAAAGGGGGAAAAAAATAAAAATCAACTCCTTCCTTTTAATATTTAACACGAGTCCATCACCCTCAGTCTATTTGGTAATACAAAGCTCTGGAGATTTAAACCCTTCTCACCCGGAGAGATGGAAATGAATGGTGCTCTTTAATGAGCTGGTTCAGCAGAAAAGATAGATTTCCAAGATTACTGTAGGAATTCTTATAATTGATGTGTACTTTTGTAACGAGGATTATACCACCATCCGGCCAAGTAATTCCAGCTCTTTTCCCCCCTTGTCCCAAGCTTACCCTGCTTTTGGGGTTCCCTGAGGGACAGGGACCAGACTGTGCCCCCACAGGGAAAAAGTAACAGTGGAGGGGGGAGAAGGAAAAGACAAAGAAAAATTAAACAAGTTTTTCTTATTTAGCCATAGACAACCTAATGTAGCCACCAAATGGGAAAATAAAGGCATGTCTCCAGATTTCTATATTTGTTTTACAAATCCCTACTTTCCCCACCGATCCGGGGCCGGATGAGCTGCTGAATGCCGAGTAATTAAAAGGAACAGAGAACAATACTCAGCGCTGCCGAAGAACGCGGAGTTTCCCTCAGATGTTTGTAGCAATTGTATGAAAATGTACCAGGCGGGATGGGGAGAGCTGACAGCCGGGATTGGGAGCAGCCGGGATCCGAGCTGGCTGCCTCCCCCGCCTGATTGGCATTAATTGTGCACGTTTGCAAAGCAGAACGGAAAGTCTGACACGAGCTGCGAGCCAACATTTCTTTCTAATAGTCTTAATGATTACGACGAGAGCTGATGATCATTGCAGGGTGTTAATAGTCCAGAGAGCAGCTCTGCGGCTGCTGGGGACAAGCGGGGATGTCCCCCGCCCTGTCCCCATCACACGGGGAGATGCTTCCCCATGGTGGGCTGAGGGTGCGGTGGGATGGATCCGAGGGGTCCCA